AGGGACTTCTATGAGGTATTTCCATAAGATTTCTGTGGGATTTGTGTGAAGTTTCTTAAGGAATTCTAAATGTATATAAAATGTCTATCACTGCTAAGAATATAATCAAATTGATACTTTGATAATTTGTTTTCGTAATTTGTGAGAAATTAATGAGAAATTAATGATTTGTGTTCAGGTCGACCGGGAACCGATTATCCCGTCCTCGGAACGGTGCCGTACACGAACTTCTACTGCGACGAGCAACCCTATCCAGGATTCTACGCGGATCCAGAGACCACAGAAATCTCATAGAAATGTCATGAAAATCACTTAGAAGGAATCTCTTAGAAGAAACCGTTTAAAAATCTTGTGGTAATCCTATAGAAAACTCATAGAAATCATTAAAGTAATTCAAAAAAGTACAAATTGATATTTTCGAAATATCTTATTGATTCTACATAATTGAAATGCAGAAGAGAAAAGTCACAAAATTCATTGAAAGTTTGAAGTGCACAACACAACGTTTGAAATATTCATTTCATTCACAAATTTCGAATGCAAATTCAGTATTAATTTGATTATACTCTTTAGCAGTGATGAAAATTTTATAGAAATTTCATAGAAATCATTTAAATATTTAGAATTCCTTAAGAAATCTCATAGAAATGTCATGAAAATCACTTAGAAGGAATCATTTAGAAAACCCATAGAAATCATTGACGTAATTCGAAAAGTACGAATTGATATTTTCGAAATATCTCATTGATTCTACTTAATTGAAATGCAGAAGAGAAAAGTCACAAAATTCATTGAAAGTTTGAAAGTACTCACAACGTTTGAAATATTCATTTCAGTATTAATTTGATTATACTCTTTAGCAGTGATGGAAATTTTATAAAAAGTTCATAGAAATTATTTAGATATTTAGAATTCCTTAAGAAACTTCATACAAATTCCACAGAAATCTCATGAAAATCACTTAGAAGGAATTATTTAGAAAACTCTTAGAAATCTCTTAGAAGAAATCATTTAAAAATCTTGTAGAAATCGTATAGAAAACTCATAGAAATCATTGAAGTAATTTGAAAAGTACAAATTTCGAATGTAAATTCAGTATTAATTTGATTATACTCATTTAGATATTTATAATTCCATAAGAAACTTCATACAAATTCCACAGAAATCTCATAGAAATGTCATGAAAATCACTTAGAAGAAATCATTTAGAAAACTCTTAGAAATTTCTTAGAAGAAATCATTTAAAAAACTTGTAGAAATCCTATAGAAAACTCATAGAAATCATTGAAGTAATTCGAAAAGTACAAGTTGATGTTTTCGAAATATCTCATTGATTCCACATAATTGAAATGCAGAAGAGAAAAGTCACAAACGTTTTGAAATGTTCATTTTATTCACAAATTTCGAATGTAAATTTAGTATTAATTTGATTATACTCTTTAGCAGTGATGAAAATTTTATAGAAATCATTCATAGAAATCACAGAAATCATAGAAATCATAGAAATGTCATGAAAATCACTTAGAAGGAATCATTTTGAAAACCCTTAGAAATCTCTTAGAAGAAACCGTTTAAAAATCTTGTAAAAATCCTATAGAAAACTCATAGAAATTATTGAAGTAATTCGAAAAGTACAAGTTGATGATTTCGAAATACATAATTGAAATGTAGAAGACAAAAGTCACAAAATTTACTGAAAGTTTGAAGTGCACACAACGTTTGAAATATTCAAGTCAATTAGAAAACCCTTGGAAATCTTATAGAAATACCTTAGAACTGTCTTAGAAGAAATCATTTAAAAATTTTGTAGAAATCGTATAGAAAACTCATAGAAATCATTGAAGTAATTTGAAAAGTACAAATTGATATTTTCGAAATATCTCATTGATTCTACATAATTGAAATGCAGAAGAGAAAAGTCACAAAATTCATTGAAAGTTTGACAAATTTCGAATGCAAATTCAGTATTAATTTGATTATAATTCCTTAAGAAACTTCATACAAATTCCACAGAAATTTTATAGAAATGTCATGAAAATCACTTAGAAGGAATCATTTAGAAATCTCTTAGAAGAAATCGTTTAAAAATCTTGTAGAAATCACTGAAAGTTTGAAGTGCACAACACAACGTTTGAAATATTCATTTCATTCACAAATTTCGAATGTAAATTCAGTATTAATTTGATTATAATTCCTTAAGAAACTTCATACAAATTCCACAGAAATTTCATAGAAATGTCATGAAAATCACTTAGAAGGAATCATTTAAAAAACTCTTAGAAATCTCTTAGAAGAAATCGTTTAAAAATCTTGTAGAAATCAAAGAAACACCACTGAAACTTTGAAGTGCACACAACGTTTGAAATATTCATTTATTCTCATTTTCCCATTAATTTCTCAAAAATTTCGAATGCAAATTCAGTATCATTTTGATTATACTCGTAGCAGTGATGGAAATTTTATAGAAATTTCATAGAAATCATTTCTATATTTAGAATTCCTTAAGAAATCTCATAGAAATGTCATGAAAATCACAATTAGAAAACCCTTAGAAATCTTATTGAAATACCAAAGAAGTCCCATCGAAATTTCTTAGAAGAAATCATTTAAAAATCTTATAGAAAACTCATAGAAATCATTGAAGTAATTCGAAAAGTACGAATTGATATTTTCGAAATATCTCATTGATTCAACATAATTGAAAAGCATAACAGAAAAGTAATTCTTAAAATACATACTGAATTTGAATGTCTTTTTTTTACACTTTGCTTTTCTGCGAATTTCCAATGCTTGGGAATTCAATAAACAAGAGTGTTAGTGTTGAAACGCTTATGGAAATCGCGTTAATTTAAATAAATACGTTCAAGGTGATAAAAATAAATAAATAAATTACAAGGATTATTCGTACTGAACATGAATGGACTACATACGATGATCATTCAGACTTTAATACCTGGAATGGATTTGCCCAGCTCCAAATACTCCTGCACCGAAGGGCTGAGGAATCCAGGTGGAACGTAGCTCGAACTCAACGGATTGTTCCTCTCGTCCAGTTCGTCGTTGTAGTCGACGTCGTTTTCTGGGGGCGGCGGGGCGCGCGTCTTCTTCACCCTCGACTTTTGCTCCAAACCATCTGCAGAAGAAGACAACAATCGTGTTCACAAAGTGTTAATGAAGATTCGCGATCTATAGAAACAACTTTTTATTTACTTTCTTCAGTTATTATTATTAACATTGTTTATTGTTGAATTTCCATGTGAATTGTTTTCATTACGAACATTTCTCACTGATCGAAACTTTCCATCTAAAATCCCCTTTACAGAATTCCTACCGATAATTAATTAGTAATCCTTTGTTTATTGTTGTTTGGTAAAAGTTGATTGTTGACATTCATAAAAAAAAAGTGTCTCCTTTTCAATTTATAGATTTGTTTATTATTAAATAATTGAAGAAGAAAAAAAGCACACACCCTTGACTTTTGCTCCAAACCATCTGCAGAAGACAACAATCGTGTTCACAAAGTGTTAAGAAGCACAAGAGATTAATTAATCGGTCGCAACTTTTACATGGACTTATTTACTTTCTTCAATTATTATTATTAACATTGTTTATTGTTGAATTTCCATGTGAATTGTTTTCATTACGAACATTTCTCACTGATCGAAACTTTCAATCTAAAATCCTCTTTACCTCATTATCCTATTGATAATTAATTAGTAATCCTTTGTTTATTGTTGTTTGGTAAAAGTTGATTGTTGACATTCATAAAAAAAAGTGTCTCCTTTTCAATTTATAGATTTGTTTATTATTATATAATTGAAGGAAAAAAAAAGCACACACTTGAGGCGAAAGCAGGAACTGAATCTCCTTGAAAACCCATCTACTCTTTCGATATTTATATATATTTTTTGTTCGTATTCTCTTCATCTTTATAAAAAATAAACGAGAAGAACGTGATTTCCGCGAATTATCCTGTTTCGCGTTAATCGCATCTTTTATGAATGCATTTCAGATTCGTCGATTTTGCAACTTATTAATTTGTCCTTCGCCGATCCGCATGAATCATACTATAATGCGTGTGTCTGCACGCTCCACTTTTGCCGCAAAACAAACAATCATTTTGCCGAATCGATTGCGCAACGAAAGTGGAACTCGCTAATTGATACATAACGAGAGAAAAATCGGAGCCCCAATACGATATTTCTTTGTCGTTGCCTCATCTTCGTTTTGATGTGGACGCGTGTTAAGGTGAGATTAAAATCTCTTAGAAGAAATGATTTAAAAATCTTGTAGAAATCCTATAGAAAACATTGAAGTAATTTGAAAAGTACGAATTGATATTTTCGAAATATCTCATTGATTCAACATAATTGAAATGCAGACGAGAAAAGTCACAAAATTCATTGAAAGTTTGAAGTGAACAACACAACGTTTGAAATATTCATTTCATTCACTAATTTCGAATGTAAATTCAGTATTAATTTGATTATACTCTTCAGCAGTGATGAAAATTTTATAGAAATTTCATAGAAATCATTTAGATATTTAGAATTCCTTAAGAAACTTCATACAAATTCCACAGAAATCTCATAGAAATGTCATGAAAACTCATAGAAATCATTGAAGTAATTCGAAAAGTACAAATTGATATTTTCCAAATATCTCATTGATTCTACATAATTGAAATGCAGACGAGAAAAGTTACAAAATTCATTGAAAGTTTGAAGTGAACAACACAACGTTTGAAATATTCATTTCATTCACAAATTTCGAATGCAAATTCAGTATTAATTTGATTATAATTCCTTAAGAAACTTCATACAAATTCCACAGAAATTTCATAGAAATGTCATGAAAATTACTTAGAAGGAATTATTTAGAAAACTCTTAGAAATCTCTTAAAAGAAATCATTTAAAAATCTTGTAGAAATCCTATAGATAACATTGAAGTAATTCGAAAAGTACGAATTGATATTTTCGAAATATCACAAATTCATTCACAAATTTCGAATGTAAATTCAGTATTAATTTGATTATACTCTTTAGCAGTGATGAAAATTTTATAGAAATTTCATAAAAAATATTTAGATATTTAGAATTCCTTAAGAAACCTCATACAAATGCCACAGCAATCTCATAAAATTCACTTAGAAGGAGAAATACCTTAGAAACACCACTGAAACTTTGAAGTGCACACAACTTTTGCCGCAAAACAAAACGATCATTTTGCCGAATCGATTGCGCAACGAAAGTGGAACTCGCTAATTGATACATAACGAGAGAAAAATTTCTTTGTCGTTGCCTCATCTCACCGATTCTTCGTTTTGATGTGGACGCGTGTTAAGGTGAGATTAAGAGACCGAAAGGATGTCACCAACGCCAACTTTGGAACAACGCATCTTGATGATACACATATATCTTTGCGCAAGTTCCTCTGGATCTCACGTTTCATACCTATTCGTGGAAATCGAATCTCTATAATCGAGTCGATTGACCAATTTGTGTGGAAACGTATTGCCGTTTCAATCATAACTGCAATTTCAATTTGGAGCGACTAATTGAATGAAATTGTAGTAGTTAACACAGTTTTTTTTTTTTAATAGTAGAGAAACTAATAATTAGTAATACGAATTGGATTTCATATCAAAACTGAATTAACAATAACTCAAAACGCAAAGATTGTATAAATGTGTACACTATATACTAATTCAAGGATTAATTATTTTTCTTGCCCTGAAGTTTACGTTTATTGAATTTACATCAATTGTCTTTGAATACATCTTTCTCAAGATGTACACTATATACACTAAAGTAATGATCTTAATGCAAATATTTCTTAACAGTTATTGCTTATAGAAATAAGTGTGTGACAGCCTGAGAAAAGTTGCTCAACTTTAACGAGTCGCATGCTCGATCCTCATTTATTATTTAGCATCCCGTTTCTTTCTTACTTCTTTTATTTATTTTTTTTGTTTTTGTTCACGACTCCTTCAGAGCCACCTCGATTAGCCAACGCAAGCACAATTGTCTTCTCCAAGGTCCTCCTCCTCATTCCACGAACCCTGATTCTTTCTTTCTTTTACCTTCTCAGAGATGGCAGATAAAATAAATCCGTATTGTTCCGTGCGATTCGGTTCTCGCAAACAAAACGAGAAGAAATAATTAAAAACGAACGCAATTTCGTTATTGCATTTAAATAATATTTAAAAAAAAAAAAAATCCATCCTTGACCGGTGAAAATGTGTAAGCAAGAAAGGTTGATGGAATCATATTAACTACGAATTATCTGAAGCGAAAACGAGTAATTATAGTTTTGTTGAACGTTCGTTTTGCTCAATTAACTTGCGCTGGATCCTTTCTAATAACAAATAAAAAATATACACACACGAATTGAAATTTAATTTGCGCGATTATAAAATACAAATTAGAAAGATTGATGCAGATAATGATGGTGGGTTTGTGTTGAGTTACAGTTTAGAAAGTGCATTTTGAGATTTCCGGTGAAATGTGGTTTGCAAAGAGGTAATTGTGGGTTTAAGGAAAATCGTTTTTGCGAGTGGTTTTTTTTGCTATTATTGTAGTCCTTGGCCTGGGGAAGCCGGATTTATTATAACTTAGAGTAAATTAATCGTTAATCTCGGTACCTTGGAAGGCTTGAAAATGAGTGATTTCAATGAGAGTCGAGGAAAAACTTCTCGTTATGTTAATTGCAGAAATAGGTATCGAATCTAGTTCAGGTTAATTGGGGTAAGGACGTCGCAATGTTGGATCACTTTAGGGCTTTTCCGACGCTCGAGCATTCCGAGTTCTTGCAAAATGCATTTTTGTTGTTGTTGCATTATTATTGCTTGCAGTGAAGTTTCTGTTACGTTTTTGGGATCGGTGAAAGGATTTCGTTGTCGTTTAAGCCAATTCGTAGTCAATTTTCTTTCTCAATTTGATGATGATGATCTCTTCTGCAGTGTTTTATGTTTTCTGCCATTGACTCGATAATGTCAACGCATCGGGAACCTTCACGACTCGAGGTATTTAAATCGTGGGTAGGAAAGAGTTATTTATTAATTTGTATGTTTATATGTGTGCGGTTGTTCCAGGAAAGGAAAACCGCGAACGAAAAGCCATTGTCTTCGAGTCTGTCCGCATTATTATTATTCCTCCCGGGGATTAAATCAATAATCGGCACTTTCTCTCCGAGGAAAAGTTATGCTGAAATTCATTCATGTAATAAAACGAGCCTTCCTTCTTGCACATTTTTCACGTTGCAAACAATCTTGACTTTCTTAACCATTCGCAAAATTCAAATCGCTAAATTGCTGTTACTTTCGTTTTCAACTCTAAATCTGATTGATATTTGTGACTGTTAATCTTCTCAAATTCATCCTTGATCCGCCGAAAAACCGAGCTATTACATCATCTCCCGCAGTTCCGACAAACACACATCTTCTTTGATCTTTCATTTTTCGTACCTGTTTATTTTTTTTTTAACTTTTCTTCGCATCAACTTACGTAATCCGTCTGCAATTTCTGGCTCTTTGAAATATGATATAATGAACTGGACAAGATCGTCTCGTTTTTATTGTTGTTGTTTGCTGCTGCTGCTGCTGCACCGCGCTTGACCTCAAGATTTCTCTTTTTCATTAAGCATAACCGAGAGAACAAGCAAACAAACAAACAGAAAAGAGGAACAAGAGTAATAATAATTATAATTATAAAAACGATGAACTGGAAATTTCGATGAGACAAATCTTGAAAAAAATTGGAAAGTCTGTAACTGATTGTCTACTTTACATACATTTTAATATTGTTTCTCTTGTCTCTATTTGATGACACATACGCAGTAGGATTATGTAAATCTTAAATAACTAAGCTGAATGGAATAATAGCGTTATTTAACGAAGATTTTGTTCATTCCTCGTTGAAGGTGTTAAGTGTATTATATTATAGGTCATAGGTGAGCGTTATGGGTGATATTTGCATGTGGAAAAAGCGACTCACCGGTTATTATTAAATATCCTAACACTAAGAGCACAATATGCACTGAATACGAGGGTCTCATGTTTCTTTCGTGTTGTTGTTGTTGTTGTTTATGTCTTTGCTTTTGCTCTCGTCGATTGGTGATCACTGCAAGCACATCTCCAGCGGACTGGATGGCAAACATCTTGCTGCACGAGACGCACATTTACACTCTGCCCCACCTGACTTACCTCCACACACACACACTCGAGAGAAAGAGACTTAAGTTCTTCTCTTGCTTTGAGCTCATTACGTAATAACAATGACTAATTTAGAATTGTTTGGTTTTCAGGATTGCTCCGCGATAGCGAGGAAAATATCGGTGGAGCACGACGAGGACCACGGCAACATCGCGAGGATCTTCCTGGACGCTCACTCGAAGCTCCAGATGGTCGAGTGGAGGGTCGTCGGGAAACTGAAGGGTTGCGTGAAAGGCAAAGAGGAAGCCCTGGTGAAGATCGGCAACGAATTGTCTTGCAGCATAGAGGAAATCAAAGAGCTGATCGATGCGGGCGGTCTAATCCTCGAGAAGAACGTGAACACCCAGCACGACGTGAAGTCGATGCTCGAGCGGATGGAGAGAGTCCTGAATTTGGGCTACCATTTGGAGCGTGGTGGTGCGAAAGGCTTCTGCTTGGGCGTGCGGAACGTGAACTATCTGGACGAGATCGACGATTTGCTCCAGATTAATTTCACCGACGACGCCGATCACGCTTACAGATTGGTTCACAGAGTCGAGGAGGTGGATGAATCCGTTAATCTAGAGCAGGAAGAGTCGATTTATACGGAGAGCACGAAGATGGCAGATCCTTGGAAGCGCAGCTACCCCGAACAACAGAACAGATTGTTAGGCAATTTGGGCACGGTATCGATAAACGAGAGTGCGTCTTCGAGTTCGTTTCTATTCCATTGGAACAATGATTTATTAATTTATCCTGCAGGCGACAGGGAATTCGTTATGGTCACGTACATCGTTAACCCCGATAAGATATTCGTCCAAATGAAGAAGCACGAGAGCTTAATCAACGTGCTGCATCGTCGCCTGGAAGAGTGCGCTCTTCACTCCGAGCTGATCGATAAACCGGAATTGAGTAAAAGCCCCACGAAACACTTCAAATCATTGTATTTAATTCGTTTTTGTTTGCAGATCAAATGTACATCACCAAGTACGGTAAGAAGGGATATCCGAGTTGGTGTCGTTGTCGCGTCACGCAAATGGACGTCTCGAATCTTCCGGTCGTTTTTCTCATCGACTTTGGTATCATATACAATAGCAAAAAGGACGAGTGAGCGTTTTCGCAGTTTTTGTGCGTGCGAAATTTATATAAATCAACATTGTTTCAGTTTGCGCAACATCTCGTTGGAGCTGGCGAACATTCCGAAATTGGCGATCGAAACCAAACTGTACGGTTTGTACCCGGTCAAACAGCAGTGGGATCGTCCGGTGAAGCAGCTCTTAGTAGACATCACCAAAGGGTGAGAGATCATCCGTCAATTAATCGAGTTCTTCTAATTCGTTCAATTCAATTTAGATGCGACGTTCTGATGATCGTGCTGGCGCGCAAACACATCCTCGAGATTGACTTCATCGCTTACAATGATGCCGATGAATATTCCGTACGCGATACGCTCATTTTCTTGGGGTACGCGATGACCTTCGTCTCTGAAAAACAACCTATGAAAATCGAGAAAGTAATTTGCTGAGTATGTTTTAATTATGCTGTAACAATCTTTGGATGTTTTCAGATCGTCACGAAGTCTCGGTTTTACGATAGATCCGAATACTTCAGGATACTCGAGAGTTATTCGGTCACCATCTCGCACATCAACAGTCCGTCCGATTTCTACGTGCAGTTGCTGCAGTTTCGAAACGATCTTAATAATCTGCATTCGATGATGCAAGAGCACTACACGAAGACGAAGAAGGGGTACATCTACACGCCTGAAGTCGGAATGCCGATTGGCGTGATGATCAGAGATAACGTCTGGCGGCGGGCGATCGTCAAATCTATCGTCTTGGGCAAAGGTTCGGTGGACGCGTTCCTCGTGGATTACGGCGAGGTGCTGCGCGTCCATTGGAACAATATCAGAAGACTGCCGGAGTCGTTCATCGCGTTGGAGAGTCAGGCGAACAACGTTGCTCTCGCTGACATCGAACCATGCGGTAAGAATTGGGGCGACGCAGCTACAGCTTACTTGAGGAAGTACGTGAACGGCAACGAGCATCTGATGTTGGTCATCAAAGAATTATCGAATCCCCTCGAGATCGGACTGTTCGAATACCATATCAGCATCAAGAAGAGCATCAACGCTCTGCTCGTGAAAGCGAACTTTGCCAAATCTACTGGTGAACTGTAAGTATTGTAATAACTGTTGTAATCACTGTTGATTGCTAATTATTGCTATTCTTTTAAGATCCGATGTCGTGGAGTGGCCCATCGGCTGCGGCGGGAACGAAAAGAAACCCGACGAAATGTTTATATCGACAATGCTGAAAACGGTGCAGGGCTTCTCGAATGATTCCCAATCCGATGAGGATAACATCGACGAAGAGAATATGTCGATAAAATCGAAGCCGGTGCAGGTGCTGCGCGTGGACGGGCCCGATCAGATCTACGTGAAATTCACGGAGAACCCAAGCGAGTTGCTCGATCTGCAGAGCTTCTACATCAAGCTGCAGAAGCACTACGGCAAACGCGACTGCAAGACACGAGAGTTCTGGAGGGAAGGCGACATTGCCGTTGCCAAGAACCCGAAAGATCAGCAGATCCATCGGGTGCTGATAAAGAAGTCGGGCGATGAGACCAGTCACGTCTTCAGCAGAGATTACGCCGTATACTTTGACGTGCCGAACTCCGAATTGCAGATCGTCGAAGAGGAATTCGTTAACGTTCCGCCGTTCGCGTGTCGTTGCCATCTGTACGGTGTTAAAGCGGCTGGTAACTCGTGGAGTCTGACCTCTAAAGATTACCTGTCGGAACTGTTATTGAACAGCAACAACATTCATTTCAGCAAGATGGGAGACGTGGTGCAAAAATCGACGCCCGGTGTCTTCTGGATTAAGGTATTGAAATCGGAGTCGGCGCTGAAGCGATCGATCTTCAAGATGAGCAACGTTAACTTGCTGCTGGTTAAAAACGGATTGGCCATCAAGTACGGCAACTGGGATTTCCAGAGCAACGAAAATCTGAAGCCGTGCAAGGATTACATCGAGGACGGAAGATCGGGTAAATGGTTGGAGCCGATCTGCTTGGAGGTGGAGAGCGTCGAGGGTATCGCGACGAATGTCGGTGACGATGGGACCATTTACTTTCACACCGTTTCGGCATCCGTGCAAGCGTCGGAAATGGAGAAGCTGATGCAAACCTGCTTGGATTCCGAGGCGATGGTGCTGAGGAACTGGTCCGTGGGCGATCGCTGCTCGGTGCGTTATCACAGGAACAACAAATGGTATAGAGGGATACTCCTTGATATCATCGAGGACGAATATCGCGTGTCCATGATTGATTATGGAAACGTGGAGGTGGTGAATTGCGATAACATTAGGAGCGACGTGTTCTTCGTGGAGGTTCCGCAGCTCGCGAACAGCGTCAAACTCGCCGACGTCTATCCGAGGCACGACACCTTTTACGTGAGGGATCTGGACATTCTTCACACGTTGATCGTGGAGAAATCCGTGCTTGTCAATTACGTCGACACCAGCTATCATTACGGCATCATCTACCAGGGGGTCATCAATGTTAACGACTACATGATCAGCAACACCACTTGCGTCGCCTATCAAATGAGCGAATCCGACGACGAGGATGTCATTATTCTGGATTACGATCATGCAGAAGAACTGAACTACACGTATCCGGAGCTACCGCCGGAACGGTACATCCTTGCCGCACTCATCAATCAGTTCGATCACAACAAGCTCATCTTCGAAGTGACGGGCGTCGACGAGAGCTGCAGCGGCTTCAACGACTTGTGCGAACAGTTGAGACAAGAGGGCAACAGTCAAGCTCTGATCCGAAATCCGGAGGAAGGAATGCCCTGCATCGCTGTGTTCCGCGAAGACCAGAGCTGGTATCGGGCGAGCATCCTCGACGTGCTGAACGAGGAAACCGTGAGGGTTTACTTCGTCGATTTCGGCAACGTCGAGATCATCACGATCGACAACGTCCGCAAGATCAAGCCGGAATGGATGAAGTTTCCCGTGCACCAGGTCACCGCCACCATCAACAACATGACTTCCTTCGACGAAGAGTTAATTAAATCCTATTTCAATACGGTCCAACGACTCGAGATCATAGAAAGACATCCGCTTATTGTTAATATTTGCAAGTCTTCGCTCTAATTCAATCCATTGTTTTACTTCCTAAGAATACATTTTTCTTTTTCTTTCTTTCAATGAAAATTACGTTTCATTCAGAGGTATTCTTTAATTTATTATTATTATTTATTAGCATAAATATTGTTTTATTTATCGAAAACTGTTATTTTCAGTTACACATCGTTTCTGTATTATCTATGTTTACTATTTTATAGACAAATCTTGCCAAAGCAAACAACAAATATACATTTATCATCTAAAATCTCTTATTTTTTAAATTTGAATATTTAAATTTTCTGTTTCTTCTGTTGGCTCCCATAAAACAAACAACTTATCACCAAGTTACCTACCCTTAGTTACAGATAACTATTTGTGTTGATTTTGTTATTGAGGTTAGGTATATATTCATACAGTTTTGTAAATAATGTTGGGTGTACGTGTGAACTCTTTCAATGAAAACAGCCTTGGTGAACCAGAGCAGGATGCGAATTCAGCTTTAACTGAATTAGATAAAGGTGAAGTGAATCGAAACCAAACATGTTCCGATTAATATAACAATATTTCTCTTTTCTACTAGGTCTCAGATCGAACAAAGTTGGAGATCAGTGCGATGCGATTGTTAGATTCCCCAGGTTGTTCGAGAAATACCCATTTCCCATCCTGATCAATGCATCTCTGTTGAAGCTTGCCGAAGTTTTCCGTACAGGGTAAGATTTCATTTCTGAAAATATCAGTTGTAATTCAATTGTTATTTTAGGAACAACTTTCTTCGGTTATGTGTCCTGAGGGTGTGCCAGCAGAGTGAGAAGCATTTGGATAAAGTTTCGAACGTTGATGAATTTGTGAGGAGGGTGTACAGTGTGATTCACAGTAACGACCCAATTGCCAGGGCTTTGGTTCTACGCACCCTCGGAGCTGTGGCTTGCATCATACCTGAGAGACAGCAGGTTCATCATTGCATCAGAACCAGCTTGGATTCACACGATGAGGTTGAGGTGGAGGCTGCAATTTTTATTGCCATACAGTTTGCTGCCCATTCAAAGTACGTTAAAAGAATTTGATTATGAGAATTAAGATTGATTTATTATTATTATTTTTTAAGGACGTTTGCAATTGGAATGTGCAATAAAATATCGGATATGATCCAAGGGCAAGCCACGCCGGCCAACATGAAGTTGCAATTGATTCCTATCCTGCAACACATGCACCACGATACAAACACTGCAGCAATGGTTAGGAATCTCTGCATAGAGCTTCTTCCAACATATCCTGCGGAGGAATTTGTTTTGACCATATTGAACACTCTGACACAGTTGGCTGCTGCTACTTTAGTCGATATTCCAAGTCAAGTAATGTTGTTTATTAGTCAGTGAGTTAGCAGTTATTAATTATTGTATTTTGTTTTGTTTAGGTTTTGTTGTTGCTGCAATATTTGAAGACGGATCCTCGGTGGGAAGTTAAATCACACTGCCTGAAATATCTGCATCAAATGGCTAAACCTGGGGCGCATCTATGGCCAAACGGGGCTGTAGATTGTATTTTGGATATGGCTTTGGAGACGACATCGCCGAAGATGTTGAGATTAGCGTTGAGTGAGTAGTAGTAGTAATATTAATTGATTAGCAATTCATTGTATTTTTTGTAGGCGTTATCGAGGTATTGACGAAATTTCCAAAGCTGTGCCATGAACACCAGTTGCAATCATCTAAACTAAGACAATTATGTTCAAAACATAGCGTATCTTCATATCAACCAATCGCCGCACTATCCATTAACATCCTAACGCAAATCGTTTGCTATTGGTAATTTGCTTTTTTTAACCTTTTGTTAATATTAATTGGAATATATTGTAGCTATAAAGAGAATATTGAAGTTGGAGGAACCGAGGAAATAATATGTTCGTTGGAAACGCTTATTTTGCTGCTCACATATTCGGAGGAGAAATACCCGTATCAGTTGAAATTGGCTTTGAAGTGCGCTGTGAAATTGGCTGAACATAAGAGGGATAATTGCGAGAGGTTTATTAAACTTTTGGGATCGCGTCTAGGATTCGTTGATGGTCTGTTATTAACAACAGTTCTTATAGATTTATTTTAACTGAATGTTTTCTTTCAGGCGATTGTACCATAATAATATGCGAGGCTTTGGGAGCAATCGGAAGTCTGGATGCTGACACGTTATTACCGCTGCTAAGGGATATTGTTCAGCTGCTGGTGCAGATCTCTGCGATCGCCAATCCTTCGCGACAGCAGACGACGATAGCTGTGATGCTATGTACGTTAGTGTTCCAAACGCTTTCGGGTTATAATTGGAATCAGGAAGTAACCGATGTTATCCACAAGGTAACCAGTTGCAATAACTTGTGGGCGAACTATAGGATCGGAAGAGCCGCGGTTCGTTACGGTCATCACGCCATAGCCTTTCACATCTTCAACAGCTTAACGGAACAAGTGAGCTCGGAACATTGGCATTTTTGGCTGGTCTGTTTGAAGGAGATGTCCGAGGGCGAAGTGATGTTGGCCAGTGAGAACGGAAGCATCGTGGGTCGCTTGGATTCAGCCGTCGCCCATTACAACAAAGCTATTGCCGCGTTGAAAGCTGCGAGTACACCCTCGCACAATTTACAATTCCAAGCGGAGTACATGCGAATCCGTGCTGAATACTTGCAGTGTTTGCTCCAGCTGTTGCACACGTGCAATATTCTCTGCATAGTTCCACCACCGGCAATAGCATCCACCATCGCTCAGACCACAAGGGATGAATTTCAGCGTCATGGGTACATCACCAATCAGATGCGAAAGTGCGTCAAGGATTTCCAAGCTTGTGGCGATCTTTACCTGAAACTGTATCAAACCGCGTTCGACGCGGATCCAGCCACTCTTGAAAATATTCAAATGTAAGTGTGATGTAATTATTTCAACGAAGACGCTAAAAGCTCGCTTCTTCAGTTTACAGCAAATGTGTGTCCTCTTGGAGCAATGCATTGACAGCGTTTGTTCGAATAACACGCAGAACGGTCACACCTTGGATATAGAGGTGAAGAATTTGCGTTTGGAGTGTCGACAGTTGTTGGTGGGTTGCAGGAACGCAGCTAAAATTGGAAAAAGCATCGGCGATCAAATCAACACGCAAACCATCACGCATAAGGTAATTTTTGTTATGTTTGAGTTAATCATGAGTTTTTTTAATCATGAATTTTTTTTTTTCGTAGCACGTTGAGCTGCTGAACAGAATAGTGGAGGTTTTAGTGGACGCTCCATTGCCTGTGCCAAGATTCTTCTTCCAGGTGCTGCAATGTACCACACTGAAATTGGCCATTTCTCCGCAACCTCGAGTGATGGGTGAATTCATAAGCGTGCAGACGGGATCACAATTGGCTGTTAAAGTGGAGGGCGTTATTCAACACGGTCAGAAGCCGGGGCTTTACAGGCACGTCGAGGGTGTCGTCGTCACCGTCACCTCGCAGTTGCAACCGAGCAATAAAATCAAGGATTCCGATATTAAGGTAATCATCGAGATATTTAATTTAACTGATTTTACTGATGATTGTTTTTGTAGGCTGTAGATGCGAATTCAGTGTTGACGCAAACTGTGACGCCGCACAAGGATTTCTTTTCGGCGCAATTCCTTCTGGCTTTCCCTCGCGGAGGTCAATACATTCTGGCGGTGGATGCGTCGGTTGCGGATAAAGCAGGAAACACGTGGAAGACTGGTCCCAGGTCGACTCTAACGGTGAAGGTGCCGGAAGAGCCGAAGCTCCAACCGATTTCGATGCCTGGAATGGCCGGAAACTCGAATGTGTAAGTAGAAGCATTGACATGAGTTTAAAAATGCTAATTAATGTTGCTTTTTGATAATAGGATTTTGATGGCGGAGGACAGCCATTTCTTGAGGAAAAAGTAAAGGTAACAACTTAAGCGACAATTTATTTATAATTAAATATAAACTAAAAAAAAAAGAAGGAAAGATAGAAAATAAACACGATAATCATGTATCAAAAAAAAAACAAATGTTTTGCGGGATATGTTATTCAATTTAAACTGCCCCAACTGTGACCTGTTCCGTATTGATTGGGCTGGTGTCGTAGCTCCTCAAGTTGATCTCTTCGCGTTTGTAATCGCCGCTCCTGCCGCCCGTCTTGCCCGTCAGCATGATGTTGCTGATGGTGATGTCGTGGCTGATCGCTTTGCACATGTCGTAGACGGTGAGGGCGGCGACGGAGACGGCGGTCAACGCTTCCATTTCCACGCCCGTTTTCCCGTCGCACGAGACCACCGAGTTCAGCACGATGCACTGGCCGCCCTCGTCGAGACTCGCGCTCACCTTGATCGAGTTCAGGACGATGTTGTGGCACAGCGGTATCAGCTCGGACGTCCTCTTCGCCCCGACGATGCCCGCCAATTGGGCGACGGAAAGCACGTCTCCCTTCTTCAAACCGTTCTCTCTGATCAGCTTGGTGAGTTCGAAGGTCAACTTGACGGTCGCCATAGCCGTGGCAGTTCTAGCGCTCACGCGTTTCCCGCCGACGTCGACCATCTTCGCTTTACCATCATCGTCGACGTGGCTCAGCTTTCGCGTCGAGTAAAAACGAACGGAGTTCATCGATGGCCGCTGGAACAAGTGCGACAGGTTTCTGGGCTCCGCTAAAACGATTTTCTCAATGTTAACTCTTGTGCAGTTAAAAAAAAAATTAAATATAGGTTTTAGTTAAGAAAATTTGAAAATTAGATTCCACAGGAAAGAGGGCATGCGTGTATTTACCTTAGATATCTACAAAGTAAGAATTACGTATCTATTTCGTTTTCTCTTTTTTTGCTTGAATTTACTCTTTTTTTTTAATAATTACTAAATGGTTAAATTGCTTTAACCGCCAATTAATATCATAGGTCGATTTTCCATATGCGAAAGATTCAGCATGCCTGAAAATAACTGGGCTTAAAGAAGAGGCATTCGTCGTATCGATGTCATGTGAATAAATATATTTGTTTACGTATTCACTAGAGCAGTTGATGGCATTCCGAAAATGTATTAATAATCTTACCCGCGTGCTGTTTCTTCTTGCGCTTAACGGCTGCAGAAATCAAAGCGGTCAAATCGTCGTCGCTGCTGCCTGCTCTCATCGCATCGCGTAACGATACTTCCGTGTTGCCGAAGAGGCATACCTTCAGGTTACCATCTGCGGTGATCCTCAGGCGGTTGCAGGAACCGCAGAAGTGTTCGCTCATCGACGTGATGAATCCCACCTGACCCATCGCTCCTGGTACCTTCCATGCCTGCAATTAACAGTTCATCTTAGTTGTTTCTTTACCAAGTATTTCAGTTTACCTTCGAGGTGTCGTTGGGGCCGTTCCTCAGGGCGTGGAAATCCGGCCACCGTTTGCGGATCTTCTCCACCATTTCCTTGTACGAGACCATCTTCTCCATTTCCCATTTGTTTCCCGAGAACGGCATGTACTCGATGAAGCGCACGTCCACGTTCTTCTCCTCCGTCAATCGAACGAAATCACAGATTTCATTATCATTGAATCCTAATTAAAGATAATAATCATCAATCATTAAATAAACCATACTTGTAAGAATGCAAGTACTACTTTCCAAGGTACTTGCGTTCTTACATAATACTAAATTGAACGTAAACAACGAAATTAAATTAGAGCTCCGCGTGAGACGTACTTGATAGTTTCCTATTATACTTTAATGAACGCATTTTTAGTTTCAGCTGTGAAAAACCTCTGCGACAACTTGAAAACATGTTTGTTGTTGTTGTTTCGTGCTGTGCGATTCACAAAACCTAGTTTCCGACGTATCGATGTAAATATTGAAGGTGAGTATCGACGGAGGCAATAGCGACACAAAAAATACTCGTCCAAGGACGCACACCGCCAACGAAAATTTAATTAACATACCTTAGTAATTTCTAAGCAAAATATAAACGTTTCAATGCAAACATCGCATTTCTTCAAAATACACAAATTTTTAATATTTACATTGCAAAATCTGAGATATGTTAAGAAATTTTGCCATAAATTGAATGATTATTTATAGTGGATTTAAATTCGCATTTTCTTCAACGAATTTGTTATTGTTATTAATTAAGTTTGATTGTCATTGCAGCGACCTTCGTGAATTGGATTGCAGATTACCTTTCATGACGACGCAGTTGATTTTAACAGGATTGAAGCCTAGTTGTACGCCCAGATCGATGCCCATCATGACGCGATCCCATCCTTTCCTCCTGGTGATCCTCTCGAATTTATCGGCGCTGAGGGTGTCCAAGCTGACGTTGATGATGTCCAATCCGGCCCTCTGCAGAGCGACCAGTTGTCTGGTGAGAACCAAGCCGTTGGTGGTCATCGCTACCGTCTCCAAACCTTCGATGCTCTTCAGCGAAGCTGCGAAAGAGTCAGTCAGTCAGAAGAAAGCAACAGGTGCGCGAATTAATGATATGTTTACGTTGCGCAACCGCGATGGTAAACTTATGTTTACTCTTGTTCTGTCGTCGCAAGAGCGTTAATTGAGTGCAATTCCAGAATTGCACACTTCAAACTGCGACTTTGCTCACCGATAATATCAATTAGATCCCGTCTGACTGTCGGTTCTCCTCCCGTTAAGCGGATCTTGTCGACTCCGTTCGCGACGAACAACCTGGCGATGCGTGCTATCTCTTCGGTAGTGAGCAGCTCGGACTTTGGGCTGAGCGCGACTCCTTCAGCTGGCATGCAATATTGACCTGAATTGGAGAGGCAAACAAGGGTCAGTTGAGTTAGTTTGAAGATGGTTTTAGCGGTCGCCGGGGCGGGGCTCACATCGCAAATTGCAGCGTTCCGTTAACGAGATCCTGAGGTAACTGTGGAAGCGGCCGAACGTGTCACTCAGCGATGGAAGCGGCTCCTTCTAAAATGACGTTGTCGATTCCGATGTGCGAATGATGAAACACACACAAAAAACACACACGTACATTGGGGGGATGGTAGAATCAATAATACTCGACGATTACAGGTTTTTATCTGTGTTTACCTTTGCACCAGTCGCGAATTTTTGCGTGCCGGCCCCGTAGTTCCGATAGATCATGGACAAACTCGAGAACTTCGGACGCAGCATCATGACGACGATGATGATTTTGTCGCGCGGTCGATCCCTTCGGGCATTTTATGGAAATCACATGAAACGCGCAACGTTCGTGCACTGATAATAAGGACGCTGATAAAGCCAAGTCACTTAAGTGTGTGTGTGTTTTTTTGAAGTACGCTAATTAAGAAACGCCGTCCTCATTGGATGGAATCGTGGGAGGATAAAACAATTACCGCTGTTTTCTGCATCTATTGTAATCGCATTCGGCCTTGCCAGCAGACTTATTATATATATATATAGAAATAGTAGACGAATGACTTAAACCGAAAGGGTCAAACGTGGTTCAGATCCGATTAGATAGTGGATCAACGCCAATAAGATTATTCCTTGCAGAGAAGAAACAATTCCTCGATTCAGAGGTTAATATCACAACAACAAAGCGGTAGCAGCACTTGCACCGTTTCGCAACATTCACTGAACGTTTCAAATCTTCATGCATCTGCAACGAATCAATTATCAACCAAACAATTACATTGAACGTTAAAATTACCTAAATTTATATGTCCTATATAATGAACGATCATGGAAAGATATTTATGAAAGAAAAAAAGCTTAGTTTGATTAAACATTGACTAGGCAACTTTTCAATCTAACAAGTAAAGTTTCGAGTAACTATTTTGTTTTGCTATCCTTAAATTAACATTAACTATTGCATTAAATGCAACCATTAAAGCATGTCGTATGTGCATAAGGTTGAGGCAATTGTTGTTTTAAATTGATGTCATTTCAGAATTAATAAAAATTTGAATTTTCGCTTTACTTCGATAAACTTAATTTCGTATCAAAATCTACTTGCAGGAAGTTAACAAAAATGTATACTTTTATAAAACGATAATTGAGAGTAAAATGATTTAAGTTTTGTCAATCAACTTTCTTGTTGCTATTGACTACAGGAATTGCATTGACATCTAGTTAAACAATGAATTGTTTCAACTTTTATTTTGATATATCGGAAATACCCGACAACTAGATTGTAATAGTTTTTTTGGAAAATATTCTTAGAGTTCGGTAGATTTAGAATGTATGTCGTGCCTACAGGATTCCAGAATAGATTTTTGGCGACCAACGTTGGGCACGTTCCTGTGAATCATCTGATACAGCATATTTTTTTTTATAAATGATCAATGATATCTTCAATACTAAATCTTCACACGCATTTAAATATTTACTTGGATTTACTTTGATTAATTTAAGTGCATGCAAATACTTTGTGTATACAGTTTTAGCAATGATCCGTGATTCAGTGTTAATGATGAATCTTTCCAATTGGGAATGAATATGAAACCTATCATAAATACGTGCAGTTTTTTTTTGGCTTTGCGCCCAAACGTTTAGTCACCGTTTCGAGAAATTACCATCTTTCACATTCACTATGTAATACAATTATATAGTAATTAGTTTGTAGATATCAAGATTTTATATAATTTTTAATTTTGTTCTATTAATGAACATATTTGCTTATGGTTATGTAAAGTGGAAACGGAGGAGGCCGTTGCTTAGTGTTTTGTTCGGAGAGTTGTTCACCTACCTCTTCGATCCTTCTACCATCCCACTAACATTTTTCATCTCGAAAAACCTAGTTTCTCGCAGCAATTGCGAAACTCTCATAAATCGCAACTCAAAATACGTGAAGTGAAGTAAATAACGACGTTCTTAATTGAAAATGATTTGTAATCATCTACAATTTACGTTATTAACACAATTGATTTAGAGTAAAGACTAAATCTAGAAATAACAAGAAATCTAGTTTCTAGTAATCGTTACGAAACGCGTTTTAAATCTAATAGATTTACAAGAATTATATTTTTGAAGCTCAATTACCTCAAGGTAATGTACTTGTAACTATTCAATAATTGTTACAAAATGCAAAAAGTATTACTTGTTCGAAGATAATGGATGAACTTCAAAAGTAATCAATAGATTATTGGATTATGAAAGATTGTCGATAATTGTAGTATGTCAAGGTCAAAGTAATCTGATTGTTTTGTTGGGTGTGGTACCTCTAGGTTTAGTACTTGGACCGATCCTAGGATTCGAGCATGAAGTCTAGATTGAAAATAGTTGTGACTTTTTCATTTGAATATTGTTGGCTTCTGTCGTTGTTTGTTTAAGGTATTTTCAGGTGTAAAAAGTACGTGCGTGCATAAACTTTGGACGTCCGATTTGCGGGGAATGAGAAAAAAAGAACTTTGTTCTCGATTGTTGTTTAGCGCGCGCCGCGATGACTAAGGGCGTCGTGGGGGCGTCGCGAATCCACAACACCGACGCTCCGAACCACAACTATAAGAGCGTCCGACCTGTGGAACGTGCCTCTAGTTAACCTGCGAAAACCAGAGCAGATTGTGAGCGTGTCAGGTCAGCAAAGAAGAACATCACCACTTAGCAAAAGATGCCAGGCCCGTCGAGACCCTTGTGGCAGGTTAGACAAAAAGAAAACGAAAATATACGAATTTTTTTTTTATTAGAAATTTAACAAAAAAAATCGAATTGAATTATATGAACAGAGTAAAAATAGTGTTGGAGGAGAATCACAGGCGGAAATTGTTTTGTTTATAATTTGAAAAGCGTGAGTCACGCGTTCGCGAATTCCGAAATAAGACCGCGACGTCGGTGGAATGGAAGTGTGTCAGATGGGGGGGAAAAAGAAGAAAAAAAAAATGAAATTCCGCTCTAATTTTAGAGCTTAATGCGCTCATCTTAATCCTCGATATCTCTGATGAAAAAATCCGCCGGAATGTTGTCGAAGACTTTTTTGAGGATGTCGAGCATTATGTCCTCGATGGTCTTGCTCAGAATGGGATTGAGGGAATCGGCGAGAAGCTGCCAGTTTTCGTTTAGGTACGCGTTCGTCGTTTCCTCTGAAATAAGAGAATATTTCTTAATCGATCAATGAGAAAGTGTAAATGTTACCAAGGGCTTTGATGCCGTCGAAGAGGTTGCCCAAATATAGACTCAATCCCCCCCAAACCGAACTTGACGTGCACGGCTCGGATGTCGAAGAAGTGGAAGCCGTTCCTTTTTATCATCTTCACGTCGCTCTTGAAGATGATCTCCAAGTTTTCTACGCGCGAACAGAACCGATGATTCAGTCTTAAATTGATTTTATTCTTGGGATATATACTCACTAGCATCGAACCAGCACGTCCCGCTTCCTCTCAAAGGGATCACCAGAATCCTTCCCAGCAGCATGTATTTACCGTCGATCCTCAACCTGGGCAATCGCAGCTCCGTGTAGAAGTCGTACGTCTTCGGATCGACTTTGTTCAAGACGATCTTCGTGTTTCCGAAGCCCAGAATGCTGACGTTCGACAACGAAGCGTTGACGTTCACCGGTCCGGCTCCCTGCAGGATCTGCGAACTCCACGATCTTTAAGAAACTTTGGTAAATTTTTGATTTTAGAAAGATTTCTGATACCTTGATGATCGGGACCTGCAACGGGTCGAGCACATCGAGCCCGATCTCCGGTACGCCTTTGGGGATCTCGTCGAAGAGCGCTTGGACGGCGTGCGTTGAACAATTGACGAAGTTCGGTTCGCGGATCGCACATGTCTTCACGTATTCCGCTACAAACGAAACGATTTTAACAAATTCAAACAATTAAAGTTGCGAAGAAAAAGGACTTACGTTGCGTGGTCAGGATGGCGGCGGCGTCGGCGGTTAAATGCAGGATGACCAAGACTGCGATGGTCGGTGGTATCATCTCGCCGAAGGACCGCAGACCACTGTTTTTCTTCTCGGTGGATTTGCAGAAATGCGTTAGAACTTTCACTCTCTTCGAAACCGTTTGCCACCAATCTGCCTGCAATTGCATAATGCAGCTGCAGCAGAACCTCAATTACCTCCATTCCAAATCTTACACTACACTACTCTTTCTCCGCTCAAATCTTTTTCGCTAAATCCAAGACGAAATAATCAACTTTTATTGTCATATCCAATTCAGATTTAACGAAAACGTATATTTGCATTACTTTCTTGCATTCGCAAACTAATTTTTTATAGTAGATTTACAACTGGTTACTTTGACTGTTGCCATGGTTATTAATAGAACAATCATTTATTATGATAGTTTTTATTTGTTTTCACTAATTAATTACCTTGACTGTTGCCATGGTTCTAAATAGAAAAGCCCACTGCATTTTCTTTTTCATACAGTTTGTATGAATTCTAGATTTTTTTTCAAAGATTCTTGCATTCGCAAACTAATTTTTTTATAGTAGATGAAGAGAATTGGGTTTTTTTTTTTCTTATCTCGTAACTAGATTTACAACTAGTTACGTAATGCAAATACACTGCTTCAGTCGCATATTACGCAAACGTCTGCCGCATTCAACCAAATCCGAATTACTAATAGAAATCGTACGTTCTATTATTTTAATAATTTAAGAAAAAAAAAACTAATTTCTTGGTGAATTGTCAATTGTTTCAATTGTTGTCATGGTTATAAACAGAAAAACCAAAGCTACCAAAATTACTAATAGAAATCGCCAGTTCTATTATTTTAATAATTTAATGAAAAAAAAAAAACTAATTTCTTGGTGAATTGATCAAATTGGAAAGAAATTAAATAATGTATAATAAGTAATAAGATTGAATGTTGTAATTTTGTTTAGTTTATTTGAGAAATTGTCAATTGTTTCAATTCTTGTCATGGTTATAAACAGAAAAACCAAAGCTACCAAAATTACTAATAGAAATCGTACGTTCTATTATTTTAATAATTTAATGAAAAAAAAAAACTAATTTCTTGGTGAATTGATCAAATTGTTTCGAAATTAAATTATGTATAATAAGTAATAAGATTGAATGTTGTAATTTTGTTTAGTTTATTTGAGAAATTGTCAATTGTTTTAATTGTTGTCATGGTTATAAATAGAAGAACCAAAGCTACCAAAATTACTAATAGAAATCGTACGTTCTATTATTTTAATAATTTAAGAAAAAAAAAAACTAATTTCTTGGTGAATTGATCAAATTGGAAAGAAATTAAATTATGTATAATAAGTAATAAGATTGAATGTTGTAATTTTGTTTAGTTTATTTGAGAAATTGTCAATTGTTTAATTGTTGTCATGGTTATAAAAGAAAACCAAAGCTACCAAAATTACTAATAGAAATCGTACGTTCTATTATTTTAATAATTTAAGAAAAAAAAAACTAATTTCTTGGTCAATTGATCGAATTGGAAAGAAATTAAATTATGTATAATAAGTAATAAGATTGAATGTTGTAATTTTGTTTAGTTCATTTGAGAAATTGTCAATTGTTTCAATCGTTGTCATGGTTATAAATAGAAGAACCAAAGGCTACTGCTTATTCTTATTGCACATTTGTTTAGACAACGTTAATTGTTAGTTTATTAAGAAGAAATAAGTTAACTAATTGCATTTGAATGCTACAGACAGATATTGTAAGTGTTTCTACGAAATATGTAATATTGGTAACGTGCATGGATCGTTGAAACTGACTTTCGTTCGATGTTGCAATCCTCTTGCATCTTGGTTAATTGTACGCTCTTAATGCGGTCACATATCTCCTATCTCCCCCTCGGAGTGTCGACGCGAAGACTTTCTTTCCTGGCAGTTTCCAATGGTTTCAAACATTTGTTTGTTCTCCATCTCTCTCTCTCTCCTTCTTTTTTTTGTTTTTCTTTGTACACTTGTTCTCGAAGCGTAAACAAAATATGATTTCGGGACGTTCCGAATCGAAAAGCCTTCTTGATTCGTGGGTGGAAGAAATTGGCGGAGAGGCCACGTCCCTATTTTTAGACCATCTTTTATATACACACACACTCGACATGCACAATATCAATAGAGGCCGTCCGTCGTGGTTTATGGGGCCGCTAAAAATACACACGCGAAAAATAACATAAATTCGACTTTTAATAATTTACGTTTTCTCTCGAATCTATCCTGATTTATCATCTCACCGACAACAATCTCAACTTTCCGTCTAACAACACGAATCAATATCTTTCATCAAGTTACCGTAGTTTGTTTATTTTGTTTGTTTGTTTTTTTCTTCTGAGACAATCAAAAAAAACAAGTAACTAATTACAGTTTTAACTTGACTATTTTGTAAGAAAATGTTACAGCTTTAATTCAGATCCAAGACAAATTTCATTCACTATTTCTTCACTTAAGCATCTTTCTCATCAAGTTACCACACGGTTCGTTTATTTTGTTTTTTTTTAGTGAGAAACAAAATCAATCTAATTATAGTTTCACTTGTCACATACAGTGAGAAATGTCACAGTTCCAAAAAGTAATAAAAATATTATTTATATATATATATAAAAAGACATTTGCACCAAAAATTCATAATAAACTTCGGTAACGGCAACAACAAAGCTAAAAATATCGCAAACCGAAGCTGAAATTTCTTCTCAGAGAACATTTACGTCATTTGCCGAAATTTACAATCGAATCATTATGTCATATCCAATTCAGATTTAACGACGAACGAAAACGTATATTTACATTACTGTGTTGCATTGGCAAACTAATTTTTTATAGTAGATGAAATTTTCTTCTCAGAGAACATTTACGTCATTTGCCGAAATTTACAATCGAATCATTATGTTTTCTTATGATTACAATTTAGTGCCAAATCAATACGTCAATTGTTTGTATCGTTGTCATGGTTATAAATAGAAGAATTAAAGCCTATTTACGCAATCTAATTCAACTGAATCGAATGATTACATTTTGTTACTTTGACTGTTGCCATGGTTATTAATAGAATAATCGTTTATTATGATAGTTTTTACTGATTAATTACCTGTTGCCATGGTTCTAAATAGGAAAGCCCACTGCATTTTCTTTTTCATACAGTTTTTTGTTTCGTATTATAAATTCTAGATTTTTTTTTTCAAAGATTCGTAAATTGATGCATCAATTGATTTAGCTTTCATCTTCACTAATTGCTTTCACTCTCGGTCACGGTTAAAAATAACGAAAAAAATCTACTCCCACTATACACTTACATCGAATATTGTAAGCATTTTCTTTGATCATAAAAATATCATAAATCAATATTTAGCAACAAAATCTGATAATAGCCAAATTGATATTAAAATCAATTCCATAGTGCAAAAAATTACGTAATTCCTATTGAATTTAAGTTTAAAATCTAACTACTAGTTCGCATCTGCAGCTAATTGAAATAATTCCAAAATTGCGTAACTCCTTTCCGAATCTATTCTCGTAATTTTATATTTATAAATTTAACTACAAAATTGCCATTCGCTGCCAGTTTTAGAATGCTGACTTTGGATACAAAAAAAAGAAATGGTTTTCACGATTTTAAATGTTTATTATTTACAAAAATAGGTTAATTTTTAATTATAAATATAATTGTTGTTGTTTCTTCTCCTTATAAACTTTAGAAGTTTAGCGCGAATAAATAAGTAACAAATACTGTTTTATTTTTTTTATGAATAAATAAATTTGAAATTGTGCGTTGAGAGAAGACTTTTTTGTGTTTTTTACATGTGGCGGGTGTTGCCGAAGCTGCCTGCTCCTGCTTGAGAAGCGCCCTTGTTGTAACCCATCTGCAGATTGAGTTCTCCTTCGTGAGCCCTCAACTGCTCCTCGGTGAAGGTCCTCTCGTTCTTCTCGGCCATCTTCGGGCCCAACTGAGGACCGGTCCATTCGGGATGCTTCTGGGTGCAGCGGCCCAAGGCGAACAGCGACAGGCAGACCTTAAACGTTTCATTGAATCGTTAATTTGTTGAAGATTATTCGTATTTTTCCTTACTTGAGCGACGTTGCGTTTTTCGAAGAGATCCGCTGTTTGGAAGATCTCCTCTTCGGGGAGGCCGTACTTCTTGGCGGCGGCTTGGAACCTCTGGATGTTCTCCATCAGCTGGAAGTTGGTGCCTTTGCTCTGGATCTTCTTGACCGAGCCGGGCGTCAGTTTGTTCATCAGATTGCAGAGGACGATGCCGTCCTTCAGGATGTCCTCGAATTCGCCTTTCGGCACCGGTTCTCCCAAGCACTGGAAGATCCAGGTGAGGACTTCGGTTTCCAATTCCTTGTTGCGGGGCTGCAGAAGATTACACGAATTTTGTTAATTAACTTTTGGACGGTTTTGGTCGGTGCATCATAGATCATGGTCAGGTGTGGTAAATGTTTCACTTCATCGACGGAAATAGTTTCCGTTTCGTGACGTCGGCGCCTACATGTTTTAGCCTTCATCATCATCATCTACACTTGACATTCTCATCCTTCAACTTGACAACGAATTGTCGAAGACGATAATCGTTTAATTGAGTTTAGTGTTGTTGTTCTTTACGTACCGCCATTTGGGATTTGTGATGCGATTTGGGAGCGTCTGTCTGGAGCGTCGGGACGTTACTGAAACGACGCCAGGATCCGCTTGTCCTATATTGGGGCGACCACTTTGCGGGGGCGGATCTAAACGCTAACACTAAAACGCACACACACACACTACAAAGTCCATCTTACACTCTAGACACACACACACTTGATACCCTTTATCAATCATAACTGGACACACAGCCAAGTGAAACATTAGATTCGCTATAGAACAATTTCTAAAAATATATATAAAAATGTCTGCGAAAAACCAACAACCATCAGTCCAAACTTCTCTTGGAAATATATATATTGTGATGTAATTAAAGTGAAGAAGGAGAGAGGCGAATGAAAAGGAGGAAACCGCAGCGTGTAAACACGATCAATTATAATAAATTATTGCTGTTTGGGCATTCAGCCAAAAAAACAGTTCACTCTTTCCTTCTTCGCTTCCATTGACAACGGATGTGGAAATCGGGGGCATCAAAGTACGAAAATAACTGGAAACACTCTTCGCCTTCGATCAAGAAACCGGTTTTTCTATACGTATTTTCTTTATTAATGAAAACACTCTCCTTTTTTCTTTTTTCGCAACTCGACGCAACAAACTTATTCAATCGTTATTTATGTGTGTGTATCAAGAAATTTTAGTATCCATAAATTCTAATATTTCTTTCGAATTCTTTCGTTTTACACTTTAAAATAAGTTTTCATTAGGCAATAAATAACTTAAACTAAGTTAAATTTGCAAATAGTTTACATCTTTACTTCAATTGCAATTATAGTTTCAAATATGTAATATTTCTTTCAAATTCTTTCGTTTTACACTCGAAAATAAGTTTTTATTAGGCAATAAATAAGTTACATTTGCAAATAGTTTACATCTTTACTTCAATTGCAATTATAGTTTTAAATAAGTCATAAATCGTAATATTTCTTTCAAATGCTTTTACAAATTTTAGATACATTTCGTTAAATTGTAATAAACTAAAGATATTATTAAACAGGATATAAAATTTGTAATTAAGTTACGAAATTATACAGTTTTGCAAATAGGTAAATAGTAAAATTTAATTAGAAATTAGTAAATTCGATTTTTTTCTTTGCTTCGAATCGATGCATTTTTTTTTGTTTGTTTTCGTAATTAATTGAATAATTTGATGATTTTGTAAATGTAGGTTGCTGGTAAGAGGCAATAAATAATTTAAATTAAGTTAAATTTGCAAATAGTTTACATCTTTACTTCAATTGCAATTATAGTTTCAAATAAGTTATAAATCGTAATATTTCTTTCAAATTTTTTCGTTTTACACTCGAAAATAAGTTTTCATTAGGCAATAAATAACTTAAACTAAGTTAAATTTGCAAATAGTTTACGTCTTTACTGCAATTATAGTTTCAAATAAGTCATAAATCGTAATATTTCTTTCAAATTCTTTCGTTTTACACTTTAAAATAAGCTTTCATTAGGCAATAAATAACTTAAATTAAGTTAAATTTGCAAATAGTTTACATCTTTACTTCAATTGCAATTTTAGTTTCAAATAAGTTATAAATCCTAATATTTCTTTCAAATTCTTTCGTTTTACACTTTAAAATAAGTTTTCATTAGGCAATAAATAACTTAAACTAGTTAAATTTGCAAATAGTTTACATCTTTAGTTTAATAATAATAACTAATTGCAATTATAGTTTCAAATAAGTCATAAATCTTAATATTTCATTCAAATTCTTTTACAATCTTTTAGATACATTTCGTTAAATTCGAATAAACTAAAGATATTATTAAACAGGATATAAAATTTGTAAGTAAGTTACGAAATTATACAGTTTTGCAAATAGGTAAATAGTAAAATTTAATTAGAAATTAGTAAATTCGATTTTTTTTCTTTGCTTCGAATCGATGCATTTTTTTTTTGTTTGTTTTCGTAATTAATTGAATAATTTGATGATTTTGTATTAGGTTGCTGGTAAGAGGCAATAAATAATTTAAATTAAGTTAAATTTGCAAATAGTTTACATCTTTACTTCAATTGCAATTATAGTTTCAAATAAGTTATAAATCGTAATATTTCTTTCAAATTTTTTAGTTTTACACTCGAAAATAAGTTTTCATTAGGCAATAAATAACTAAAATTAAGTTAAATTTGCAAATAGTTTACATCTTTAGTTCAATAATAATTCTAATTGCAATTATAGTTTCAAATATGTCATAAATCCTAATATTTCTTTCAAATTCTTTTACATATTTTAGATACATTTCGTTAAATTGTAATAAACTAAAGATATTATTAAACAGGATATAAAATTTGTAAGTAAGTTACAAAATTATATACTTTTGCAAATAGGTAAATAGTAAACTTCTTTTAATTGGTAAAAATCATTTCTTTGCTTCGAATCGATGTATTTTTTCATAATTAATTGAATAATTTGATGATTTTGTAAATGTAGGTTGCTGGTAAGAGGGATCCTCAGCAAGAGCAGGAAGCCCAGAAATGGATCGAATCTGTGACCGGTATGAAGTTTCCACCGGGCGCCGCCTACGAAGAGGTTCTCAGAGACGGAATTCTGCTGTGCACGCTGATGAACAGCCTCAAACCCGGAATCATCTCTAAAATTAATACGAGCGGCGGCGACTACAAGATGATGGACAACCTTAGCCAGTAAGTGCTGATGGAGATACCTACCTACCTACATAGACAGAGAGAAAGAGTGTATATATTTAAACGCAACCTGCACACTTTATTATTATTATTTGCATCTTTAAGTGAGTGTGTGTTGTAGCAGTAAGTAAAAGTAAGCGAGAGCACACCACACACTCACTCGCCTTGATGCGAACACACACACGCCTTCACCAGGAGGACATCACATGCGAAGAAGTAAATTTACACATACGGTCATATGTTGATGATGATGATGATTGCTTTGTCCCTTTCCCTGTTGGGGTAAAGAACCGCAACTGTTTCTAACAGGCGATCAGAAGAACGACGTAGAAGCAAATTGTGGAAGAGCTGAAGAAAGTGTGTGTGTTGGTAGAGCAGTAAGCGAATAATAAATAGATCGCTTTAACAATTTGATATTTATTAATACGAACACGCCCGCCCTAACGTGCTCTACATAAATCATCCAGTCCGATCCTCCGCAACCAGGAGAGCAGCAACGCGAGGAGATGCTTCCTTTTACTGAACCAGTTGAAGATTATTTGTTTATTATTGAACTTCCTTCCTCCTCTGCACAGTATTATTATTTATTTATTGTTAGTTAAATGCGATGATGATCCTCCTCCGCCCATGCGATAACAATGGACAAGCTTGTACCATCAACTAGTGCAAGTGCTGAATTTGCCACCAGGAGAGCAGCATCTGTAAGAGATCGTGGCGGATCATTTGAAAACGTTTTCTCTCTGTTGCGTGTGCAGGTTCCAGAAGGCTTGCGTCAAGTACGGTGTGCCCGACGTTGACCTCTTCCAAACCACCGATCTGTGGGACTTCAAGAACATCGCTCTCGTCACCACCACGATCTTCGCCGTCGGTCGTACCGCTTACAAACATCCCGAATGGAAGGGACCGATGTTGGGACCTAAACCCTCCGAAGAGCACAAGAGGGAATGGACCGAGGAGCAGCTGAGGGCCGGCGAAGCTGTGATCGGTCTTCAGGCTGGATCCAACAAGGGCGCGACGCAGTCCGGACAGAACTTCGGCGCTTCCAGGAAGATCATCTTCGGCAAATAAACAACGATTTCATTATTATCGTATTTTCATCATTTGCAATTAAGGAAAAAAAATGTATATTTTTTATTTAATAAAATCTTTTCGAAATAATTGTTTATTAAACTTTTTACAATCAAATAACGGAATTTATGTATATCAAAATACATCACTAGTTTCATTCTTACAGAAACATTCAAGTTGCAACTTTTAGTCTTTCTTCAAAGTTCAATTTCCTTGGTTTATCAGAAGCGAAGAATTAAATTATATAAAGTAAAGTTACTTAAGTCATTTAATTTACCTCACTTGTTTATTCTTTCAAGAACATCAAGACATTTCTGCGATTATCACTTCCAAGTAAGTTTGTTAATCTTGGATTATTTGCAAGATTCGCATCGTTGTGGGAACATTGATTATTTTTTTCATCGGGAAAACGGTGAGTTTTGTGTGAAATAAAAACGAGTATTGTTAATTAATAGGTTCTTTTCTTTCGTTGTTTCTTTTTTTTTTAATAGAAAAATAAAGTATTACGAGGACGCTTCCAGGAAGATCATCTTCGGCAAATAAACAACGATTTCATTTCGTAATTATCGTATTTTCATCATTTGCAATTAAGGAAAAAAAATGTATATTTTTATTTAATAAAATCTTTTCAACATAATTGTTATAAGTTTATTAAACTTTTTACAATCAAATAACGGAATTTATGTATATCAAAATACATCACTAGTTTCATTCTTACAGAAACATTCAAGTTGCAACTTTTAGTCTTTCTTCAAAGTTCAATTTCCTTGGTTTATCAGAAGCGAAGAATTAAATTATATAAAGTAAAGTTACTTAAGTCATTTAATTTACCTCACTTGTTTATTCTTTCAAGAACATCAAGACATTTCTGCGATTATCACTTCTAAGTAAGTTTGTTAATCTTGGATTATTTGCAAGATTCGCATCGTTGTGGGAACATTGATTTTTTTTTTATCGGGAAAACGGTGAGTTTTGTGTGAAATCGTAATATTTCTTTCAAATTCTTTCGTTTTGCACTTTAAAATAAGTTTTCATTAGGCAATAAATAACTTAAATTAAGTTAAATTTGCAAATAGTTTACATCTTTAGTTCAATTGCAATTTTAGTTTCAAATAAGTCATAAATTCTAATATTTCCTTCAAATTCTTTTACAAATTTTAGATACATTTCGTTAAATTGTAATAAACTAAAGATATTATTAAATAGGATATAAAATTTTGTAATAACTTATTTCGGTTTACACACTGAATTTCATATTTATGTAGTTAGTAAGTTACGAAATTATATAATTTTGCAAATAGTAAACTTCTTTTAATTAATTGGTAAAAATCATTTCTTTGCTTCGAATCGATGCATTTTTTTTTGTTTGTTTTCATAATTACTTAAGTCATTTAATTTACCTCACTTGTTTATTCTTTCAAGAACATTTCTGCGATTATCACTTCTAAGTAAGTTTGTTAATCTTGGATTATTTGCAAGATTCGCATCGTTGTGGGAACATTGATTATTTTTTTCATCGGGAAAACGGTGAGTTTTGTGTGAAATAAAAACGAGTATTGTTAATTAATAGGTTCTTTTCTTTCGTTGTTTCTTTGTTTTTTTAATAGAAAAATAAAGTATTACGAGGACGTCAACACTCTATATAAATGGTATACGCTATATACTTTTACGGTATATATTCTTTTTCTTTTGTTTTTTTCAATAAAAATACATTCTGTATAGTCGCGCTTGCTTTGCTTTCGCAGCGTGCGTAAGGCAACAAATGAATTAAAATAAAAACAAAAAACATAATTCTTCGTTCAATTTTTTGTTTTTGTCGCACGCCTACTCGGATCGAATCCGAACAGACGTTCAACAAATATACATATATATATATATAATTAAAACAAATGAATTCAATTGATTAGTCAATCTCTGCTACGCGTCGTGATGTATTTATTCTGCAAGATCATTCAGCATCACTTCTTTCATCTTTCTCACATAAACTATTCTCTTTATCATTAAACGATAATACTCTCGCAACAACCAACATTAAATGTTAATCAAATTTAAAATAAAAATTAAACATATTTCTCTCTCTCGTAAAAGAAATTAAATTCAACAAATCACAGTCTAAATCATTGGAGGGGGAAAGGCTTTTCCGCTTCATCTATCATATCATAATAACAGTATTTTTTTTTTAAATCGCTTTTTGCGTGTGCGCGTTATTCTTTCTTTTCTCTCTCTTTCTACGTATTTCTATCTTCTTCATTTCTTAGTCGCAACCGTCGCCGTTGCAGAGGGATTGACGATGCTTCGTGACGGCATGCCAGATTCTGAATTGCGTTCCCAGCCTGAGTCCGACGCGGCTCAAATCCTCTCGTGTGATGTACAGAAGAATATCCTCGAGGGTGTAACTGGTAGCAAGCAGGATCTTCTTCGCGCTCTCGTTCACTCCCGACTCGTCCAACCATTTCGACAACTTTGGATCGTGCACCGCCTCCTCGCGATACTCCACGCAATTGAACAGTTGCTTGAACGTCACAATCTCCTGTTGCTTCTGCTCAATTAAAATCTTCACCTACAAATTTGTAAATAAAATTAATATTTGAGAAAAAAAAACAGTGCGGTTCAGTTATTACCAATTGTTGGTACTGCTTGTGCACGTCGACCAACTCGTTCGTCAGTCGGGTGTTCTCGGCTCGCAACTGGAACACCTTATCCCGCCAATCGTAGGTCACGCTTTTGCTGGATTTTGCAGAGTTCACGGTGCTGGGAGAACTGTGATTGGCCAGATTCTCCGCCAATTCGGGGGAGAACACGTTGATGGCGGCGGCCACCCCCGAACGCACCAGGTTGTCCAAAGCGAACATCCAGTGCGGCTTTATCGGATGCAACCTTAGCACATCGTTTACAGACTCCTGCAACACATCAATCAATCAATCGAACAAATTTATTACTGTTCACTTACTTGATACAAATAAATCGCAAACTGCAGCTGATTTATAGCGGTCATCTCGAAGTCGAGCTCCTCTTTCAGTTGGCTGATCGCTGTTTCGATCACGTTCGGAGATTGCTCGGTGAGGAAGTCTTTGAGCGCGGTCATCAGTCGCTCCAGGTGCTGTGTGGTGAGTATCGTTTCGCCCATATACTTTGTGCGGATCTTCTGCATCCAGAGGTCGCATATTTTGGCGCTGTCCTGAGACAGCACCTTCGAGAGCGTGGTCCGACGTTGAGAGTCCTTCTTGAGCAAATAGAAACCGTCAGATTCACCATTCCCATCCACCTCCGGAGATAGCAACGTCCCCGAAGAGTTCCGCCGGTGCGAATCCTCCGACGGTTCCAAATCGAGCGACGGCGTAGAGGCAATACTAAACATGTTTTCTTATTAAACATTATTTCAAAAGTAAATTATTCAAAAATTAATTAGTTTAAGAAATACGTAGGCTTTCCAAATAGATGATTCATCTCGCGGAGTTAGTATTAGATCACAAAAATGAAATCATCAGTAATTGAATATTTTCATCAACTTCGATGTTAATAAAACTCGCTACAATTATTACCTAATACTAAAGTGATAGTTTATCAATGTTTGTACTGAGATGAATTAAAACAAAAACATAAGCAAACAAAATTGTGGTTATTGAAGGCGGGTAAAGCAAACGTTAAGACTTATAAAAAAAAAACTAAGCAGAGTATACGTATGTAGATGTTCAGTGTTGTTTACCTGGTGAATGAAAGAACGCTCGGCATTTGTATGGGGGGCAATAAGTGTCCTCGACTTTGTGAGCTGCAAGACCAATTCGAATTAGTGCGTTGAAAGACGAACGTGGATAGAACGGTACACAGAAGAAGAAAGCGAGAAAAGCGTAAGATCGATGGGTACATTTTCATTATTTTACCAGGAGTATTTGAAGGTAAAGTCATCATTGTTAATTAAGTGAAATAGCATGTTCTTGGTGTGAACGCTGCTGGCTCTCTTCACTGTCATTGCTTTGCGTTCGGTGGCTGTGTGTTTAGTAAATATGATGAATGCGTTCTAAAGTTTGAGATATATATACTGTATGTGTATATATATATATATACGATAAGATTCAAAGAAAGAGTTTGTGTGACTTTTTTTTGCAAGATAAGAATGTGCGTGAAAATGAATGAATGAAAAAAAACTTACTCTGCAGATTCCGGACTCGTCGGTGTTTGGTTCGGAGCGCTCGAGCGTCCAGGAAGTCGCGCGACGACTCGATCCGCCGGCACCGAGACGCTCCTGTTGTAATCGGGGGCGAGACGTACGCTCTTCTTGCGCTCCCCCAGGAATTGATCTTCGAGGAGCTGCTGAGCGGTTGCCCTTTTATCGGGGTCCGGTTCGAAGCAGCGCAAGATGAAGCTCCTCGCACGATCCGAGAGTTCTTCCGGAACCTGCGGATGCTGCTTGTACATGCCGACTTTGAAGAGCGCCGCCTGCGGTGAGCCCAACTCGTTGAACGGCGGCTTCCCGGTGGCCATCTCGACGACGGTGCAACCGAGCGACCAGATATCCGCAGGCGCTCCGTAACCCCTCTGACCTTTATCGATCACCTCCGGCGCCATGTATTGCAGCGTTCCGGCGAACGTCTCCGTCGCCGGACACAAACCGGCGAGCCGCTTCGACGTGCCGAAATCCGAAATCTTTATGACGCCCGAATACGTGTTAACCAAAACATTGTCTCCCTTGATGTCCCGATGCACGATCTTCTGGTCGTGCAAATACTTCAAACCTTCCAGGATCTGCTTGGTGTAATAGGAGATGACTGGTTCGTTGCCTTTCAGCGGTCCCCACTTGGAGTGCAGCAGAGCGCTCAACGAACCTCCGGGCACCTGCTCCATAAATATCTTAAATAAATTGTCTTCGGACAGCGAGCCCAAATATTGCACTATGTTCCTGTGTCGCAGCTGAGAGTGCAGCCGAATCTCCTCGTGCAGCGGCTGCACAGCGCCCAAGTTCTTCTCCGGCACCTCCTTCACGGCGATCCTCACCTGCGTGTTCAAATCGCGCGCCGCGTACACCACTCCGTACGTGCCTCTACCAAGAATAATCTTCTTCCCTTGCTCGTCTTTCTCGTATTCGTATCGTATATCTCTAGGCGGTTCGATCTCCATCAAACCTCCTACACCGTCCTGATCCGCGGTCAACTCCAGGATCAAATCGTAGAACTTTTGCCTGCAAGTCTCCGACGGAAAGAAGATTTGAAAGTCATCCGAGTTCTGGTGCACGTACAGGAAGAGGCAGCGCTCGTCGCGCTTGTAAAAGCTCACGCTGCGGATGGTCTGCGCAGTGAACTCCCACGCGTGTATCTGTTTGCAATTGTTCCTCAAACTCTTGAGACACAGATTCGTCACCTGCAGCGTCTGCTGTTCCGCAGCTAAATTGACGCACACGTAGCTCGGCATCGACTCTTTACTGGGCTCAAGAATCAGAGCGGGAAACCGTATGCAATCGTCCGCCGGCGATCGCGTTGCCTCCAAAAAAAATTCCATCCAGAAATGGAAAATTTGCTCCTCCGGCGACTGCTCCTCATCCTTCCGTTTCCTGAATCGATCGATCAACAATATATTCCCCACCGTCGATTTCAGATACCAATCGGGCGGTTTTAACCGGAACATGCATTCCGCCGCCTGAATGGCGTTCGTGTAATGCTGCACCAAGACGGAGATCTCGAAGAAAGTAGCCACGTCCCAGTAATCCTGCAGCGACGACAAACTACCTTTCTTTCCAATCAGATTGTTCAGCACCATTCCGATGCGCTGCAACTCCTCCGACTTGGTGATCTCTGCTCCGCCGATGACCAAAAGCGTGGCCAGATTGATACCCGCGTATTCGTTGGGCTGCACCTCGAAGCCTTTCCTGTACCAACGGATAGCTTCGTTCAGCGAATTAGTATCGCTGTGGTTGGATTCGATGAACTTATCTTTGTATATGCGCCCGCACAGGCACAGCATGTCGGGGAAGTGATTCTCTTTCTGAAACGTTCACGTGCTACAATCGAATCGCACTCAATCGAATTATTTACCTTTTCCAAAGCCTTGATGCAGGCTTGAAGAGCTTTTTCGCGATCGCCAGCCCGTTTCCTCCGGTTCAAAGCGAAAGCGTACCAGAAACGAATGTACGAGTTTATGCACTTTCTCGAGACGGGCAGAGTGTTCAGGTCGTCCACCAGCTGGACCATTGCATCGTAGTCTTGATCGTCACGGAAACAGAACAGCATATTCAGGACGACTTCTCCGGAGAGCACGTTCGGATCATCCAAACGTTTCCTGATCGCGTGCAAAGCCGCTCTCAATTCCGGCCCACTCATTTGCTCTCGAATTTTCTTCAGATCAGCCAAAAACTTCTCTTTCATATGAGCCCTACAAAATCAGATTGATTCATTGAACACCAATAGGAAAGCTTCAAGAAACATACTTGCTCTGCACTTCAACATCTTGCAAGAGTTTCTTCAAGCGCTGCTGCAAGCAAATCTCAGCGTTCTCATCGTTGCGACCACTTAAGCACGTGGATTGATCATCCGAGAGCTTGTAGGAAATGAAAGTGTAATTTCCACACGACAGCTGAAATTAGCTATTAATAACGTATTCTTTCCATCAGGATTAAGAATTTACCTTCAAGCGTAATGTTGTGTCTGGGTCAGCATCATTGTAAATCAATATGTTCTGCTTCATGTTGAAGCTCTCCCTAACGCCTAGATGGTAGAAGAGCGTGCTCTGCTGTGCAGGCAAGGAAAGATCGACAATAGCAACATCTGCATTGTAGAAGCTGCCGATGACAGTTGACTCACCAAAGTCGAGCTTCTCAAACTACAAATATTAATATCACAAAAATTATCCGACCACTCAGAACGCAATTGCAAAAAAACCTGTATGTGCATTAGGTTTGCGCCCACCATGGAGCAGGCCTGCTGCACCTCTTCGAAGGCCTTCTTGCGGTTACCCAGGTTCGCATTCTGACAGATGTCGATCAGGCACACCACATCCATCTCTGGCTTGTTCAGGCCACTCGATGAGGAGCTCGGCTGCAGTGTGTGCCCAGAGAAATCCGAGTGTGAACCCACGCTGTCGGTGCTCCTGCTGTCTGCGTGCGAGAAGAGAAACGAAAAAAGAAAAACAAAACGTTTATGGATCAGAGAGGCTGGCAGCTTGAGACGAATTCGAAACAGATGCGAACCTATGTCAGGCTCAATCAAAAGGGGCACTGGTAATGGCATCATTTAAACGCGCGATCGTTGCATACCATTGTCGTCCAATTCGCTGCGAACCGTACGGAGAATTCGTGCGAGTCTTACGTTATCCAGGATAAAGCAACAGCAGCACGCACAGAAATTGCATAATTGGTAAACACTGGTAAACAACACTCGGTCTACACCAGTGGTGGTGGTGGTGAGCGGCGACCAGTGTTAAACCAATGTCAAAACAATTAGCGGCGTTGCCGTGCAGAAATTCCTTAAGGACTCTTAACAAAAATCACCCCAATTCAATCAATCTACAAGAAACATCAATACCGAATCCAACGCCAATTCCTCCTCATATTTCATTAACAACAACCGATTCAATTTTCCTCGTAAACTTACTCACGCGCAAATAAAGTTGCCTATACTTAAGTAACATATCCTAAGCCTACTTAATTACTAAAAAACATCAATTAGCACTGATAACAGCTTAACTTACAACTGATTAATTTCGGTTTCGAATTGATTACGCTCAACAGATTCTTCTTGATTTGATACATTTCCCTTTGCTTCAAGAACTTCTCAGACGAAAACCAATCAAACGCACTTCTTTCAAATTACAAACAATACACTACAACCAATTCACTGTAACGACTACAATAATCTCGGTGCAATAAATAAAGTTATATCCCGGTCTGATCTGGCAAACAGCCAGAAACTAGTAAAAATAAAATCTATAATTGATTTTCCATTCATCCAAACCAAATTCGATTGCAACAATAACAACACATTTAAAACATCAAGAGCAAATTTCAACATTTTAATTATTAAATTTTTCTTACATTTAATTACAAAATTTCAAATTTGAATCTGCAAGAAGCGCAATCTATGATTGAAAACGTTCAATTGAACTGTAACATGTTACAGATTTACTTCTTTCAGTCTGTAACTTCATTGTTAGATGTCTCGCTTATGCAGTTTTCAGGATTTCAATGAACTTAATTATATTTTTTTTTGTAATATAATTATAATAATTTTGTGTAATGTTAACGAAATTGCAAATATCCTTTTGCTAGTTAATGATAATAATAATACCTTGATTTTCGTAAAGGTCACAAGCTGAAAGTTTGATTTGTGCTTCAAGTACAATTCCTTGAGCGATGATGATTCCACGCGAATTTAGAGCTCGAACGAAGGCTACTACTACTACTTACTACTAACTACTATCATGGCTCGTGTTTTCTGTACTTAACAAAACGCATTAAACCGCAATCATAAAACCAATCGAGAGTGAAATAATTGTACAAAAAAACAGATAGAAGAGCGTAATCGAATCAGCGCACTTTTTCCAATCGATTATATGAATAAAGTGCGGTTTCTGTGCAGACTTCACGGCCGCAGAATGGACAATTTCCAGAACAGAGAACGTTATTGGATTTCCTCAGAGTCGATTGTGCGTGGGCTCGATTCGTATTAATCGCACGTTGCGGCCAGTTTAAAACGCAAACATTTTTGTAACAAACAAACTCACACACAAAAAAATGCAATTGCAAAGGTGAAAAGAACACAAAAAAAGCAAACATACAAGTTAACAAAATGTTGTTACAAACGTGTGTAGAAACGAGCGTTTCTTCATCTATTGACAATAGGTTTCACTTTTCTGTTTGCAATTAATTTTCCTTGAGTCCAAACAAGATTTCCTTACACGTTGTTACGTCTTTCTTTTCTTAATTAAGTAAAATTCTTTTTGTTTTGGTTATCAGTGTTGTAACACACACCGTTTTGTGACTGAATATCTATAAAATAATATTTGTAATTTAATTATTAATCGCATCATTGAGCTAAAAAAAAAAATAAATATATTTCACTTTCACTATTTCGTTCGCAAACGATTGATTCAATTTAGTGGATATATTTCAATTTGTTCATTTGTTTGCACGTCTATTATGTAGTCTGTGAAACATGCGCTTCGAACGAAACGTTACGTTTTCGTGGAATTGCAAATGTGAAGTATATAAATTTCCTTCGGCGGACGACGCGTTCCTAAACATATCACTATTTCATTTCCTTTTTTTTTTATTCAACATGAAATATGTAGATATATTATTATAGATTTCGCATAGAATTTATATATAAAAAAAATTGTTGTAAATAATGTGCAGTAAATAATGTATCGATTTGTTGTTTGTTACGTTTCGGAATGTAACGAATGATACGTTTAGTGAATCAATTTCGTGGACGGAAGGTCCCAAAGATCAATAGCTTATTGACCTCAACACCGCACTATATTCAGAGTGAAACTAGTTCTAGATCAATTTACGCAATTAATCAGATATTGTAATAAATCCAGTTTTTGGATGATGATGTTAATCGTTTTAATGAACGTTCAAATTGATCGAGCAGGTAAATTGGTTCCTGGGGCAAAGCCGAACGCAATTTGCGAATTCATTAAGTAATTTACGCTCGCAGCAGAGTTGAGTTGACGAAAACGTATACGGTAAAAGAGACAAACAAACAAATAAGTAATAATGATATTTGGTGGAAAGGTGAAGTGCGGTCGTGACATTGAACGGGGAGAGAGAGAGAGGAGGAAAGATCATTGGAGGGCGACCTTGGTTCGGATCCGGCTTCCTTCTTCCTGCTTCCTCCAACGGATCGAAAAAAAGAAAAAAAAGGATTCACTAAATCGAGATCGCACGTCGAAATTTAATTATATATAGAAAGGTGAACGGGATTACTCAATGGCAAATTTGATTCGCGTATTGAATCATGCAGAATTTTTACATATTTCTCCATAATTACAATACTTAAACTAATCTTTGTATATGGATATTAAAGCTAAAAGTATATAAAATATTATGTGTATATTGTCATAATCATGGCTCTAGTAGATTCACTGCAATTAACTCGGAAAGTTGACATCACATTTCATGAAGTTAGTGAATGAAAGTGTTTTTAGATTATTAAATATTTCTATAAAACTACATTACTTACAGTGAAGTATGAATGGAAATATTAAAGCTAAATGTTTAGAGAATAAAATGAGTGTTTTATCATCATTGTAACTGTACTTGATTCGCGTATTGAATCATGCAGAATTTTTACATATTTCTCCATAATTACAATACTTAAACTAATGCTTGAATATGGATTTTAGAGCTAAAAGTATATAAAATATTATGTGTATATTGTCATAATCATGGCTCTAGTAGATTTACTGCAATTAGCTCGGAAAGTTGACATCACATTTCATGAAGTTAGTGAATAAAAGTGGTCATACATTTTTAAATATTTCTGTAAAACTAATTACTTACAGTGAAGTATGAATGGAAATATTAAAGCTAAATGTTTAGAGAATAAAATGAGTGTATTATTATCATTGTAACTGTATTTGATTTTTTGTAATCTGCTCCTAAAATTTGTAAATTTTTATAATGTTTATAATGAATATTATTATAAGTTTGGCTATATTACATTTCTTATAAGTTTCTCTTAAAATTTAACATAATTTTCTTAAAGTGAGAAAGAAGGTGTCTTTACATTTTTATGTATTTCTTTAAAACTAAATTATTTACATTAAAGTATGAATATAAATATTGAAGTTAAATATATCAAATATTATGTGTATATTGTCATAATCATGACTCTAGTAAATTTACTGCAATTAGCTCGGAAAATTGACATCACATTTCATGAAGTTAATGAATTAAAGTGTTGATGCATTTTTAAATATTTATATAAAACTACATTAGTTACAGTGAAGTATGAATGGAAATATTAAAGCTAAATGTTTAGAGAATAAAATGAGTGGATTATTATCATTATAACTGTGTTTGATTTTTTTGTAATCTGCTCCTAAAATTTGTAAATTTTTATAATGTTTATAATGAATATTATTATAAGTTTGGCTTTATTACATTTCTTATAAGTTTCCTTTAAACTTTAACATGATTTTCATAAAGTGAGAAAGAAGGTGTCTTTACATTTTTATGTATTTCTTTAAAACTAAATTATTTACATTAAAGTATGAATATAAATATTGAAGTTAAATATATAGAGATTAAATTTTTATAAATACGACTCTAGTAGATTTTCCGTATTTTTCTCTTAAGATTTGAATACAAAAGTGTCTTTAGATTTATACAAGGTGATCAATGTCACCAATTTGACACTTTCAAATAAACTTTTGATAAAAACAGAGCTCTTTTTTGTTCATTTATAGCGAAATGGCAGCCAATTCAAATTATGACATTACTTTTGCGCCACCTAATATATATTTCTATAAAACTACAGTACTTAAAATAAAGTTTGTATATAAATATCAAAGCTAAATTTATACATAACAAAATGTGTGTATTGTCATAATTATTGCTCTCAAGATTTGCTTAAAAACAGTGTATATTTCTTTGAAACTACATTATTTATAAGGAATATTAAAGCTAAATTAATAGTAAAGATAATTAACTTATTATCATAATTATAACACTAGTAGATTTGCATTAAAAAGTGTCTTTACATTTGTATAAATTTCTTGAAAACTACATTACCTAAAATAAAGTATAAATATACATATTAAAGCTAAAAAGATTTTATTAAAGAATAAAATGAGTATAATATCACAATTGTGTCTCTATTAAATTGTGTGCAATTACATCTCAAATTTAACATTACTTTTCATAAAGCGAGTATTAAAACTGTCTTTGCATTTCCATATATATCTGCACAACTATATTACTTAGAATTATGCACGAATATGAATATTAAAGCGAAAAGTATAAACAATGAAATGAGCATAAAATCATAAATGTGGCATTATCAGATTTCTCGCATTTAGCTCTCAAATTTAACATATTATAATAGTAAAGAAAATGAACTTATTTGCATTAAAAAGTGTCTTTACATTTGTATAAATTTCTTGAAAACTATATTACCTAAAATAATGTATGAATATACATATTAAAGCTAAAAAGATGATTAATAAAATGAGTATAATATAACGATTGTGTCTCTATTAAATTTTGTGCAATTACATCTCAAATTTAACATTACTTTTCATAAAGCGAGTATTAAAACTGTCTTTGCATTTCCATATATATCTGCACAACTATATTACTTAGAATTATGCACGAATATGAATATTAAAGCGAAGAGTATAAACAATTAAATGAGTGTGAAATCATAAATGTGGCATTATTAGATTTCTCGCATTTAGCT